GAGAGAGAGAGAGAGAGAGAGAGAGAGAGAGAGAGAGAGAGAGAGAGAGAGAGAATGAGAGAACGGATATGTGCTATAGTCAGAAACGGTCTCCCCCTCTTCGCGACGAAGGTAACATTCATTCGCAACTTCTCGTATCTAAGGCGACCAGAATGCTAATCTGGTGTCGCTCGTGGCTTCGCCGTAATTAGTCAGGATGAGGTAGTCCGAGAGAGCCAGGCGCGCGCTTTATCTACAACCCGTTGAATGGGAGCAGTGCGCTAAAAAGCCGAGTAATCTTAAGCGGACCATCTTGTTGAATTATTCGTCGCGCGGACGAATTCGTTTTCTTTCTCTCTCTGCCTTTTTCTCTTCTTCTACACTCGCGCGACATTCGCATCCTGCTTGTTGTTCTATTAATCGGCGTATGTAAATTTTGAATAGATACGAATTCGGTCACCGCGGATGACTCTTCTCTTTCTTCACAGAGAAAGAATATGTGAAAGAATATCTGAAAAATTCATTTCTGGGAGAAATAAGATTTATTTCTGAATGAGTAAACTTCATATCCTACACAAATAAATTTTCAAGCGTCCTTTTCTGCGTGCAGGAAAAGAGAGAAAAGTCACCCACAGCTCGGACTTGCTCAACTCAGAAATAAAAACTTTATTTCACACAGAGAAACTAACTTTATATCCGACAAACATAAATTCTCGAATATATGTTCTCAGTGCATAATCGGAAAAAAACAAACAAGCCTTTAATCTTATTACATATATTTGTTACATTTCGTGATTTCATGGTATATTGTTATTCCCCGACACGTACCTAATTCTGGACATTATTGTTGTTTTAGTCCTCAAATACAAACATTTAAACTCTCAACGTAAAATGTACGTGCATATATTTTATATCAAAAGTTTGCAAATATTAAAAAGGTACTTAAAAATCGGAACAATAAAAATGTCCCTGTCCGGGCATCGGTACTTTTACTTCGCTGCGATATTTCCGCGGCGGATCGAGCAGCAATCCCTTGCGAAAATGACTCGCGCCGGCCGACGGAGAATCGCTGGAGTCTACGGCACGCATAGTTGTAGTTTGCTCAGGAAGACAAATGATCCACTCCGATGCGAGACAGCGCACGGCGAGAGGCGTTGGCCACGAAGAAGCGCCTCTTGGTTCGAAGTGTGCCCCGCGGCAGGCCGACTCATTCGCTTGATCTCGTGCCATTATGATATTAATGTAATGCCGCTAAAAAGGTGTGTTTGCTCGGTAACACGAGAGCAAGGGTGGGAGGAGACGTGGTAGATGTTGAGCCCACGTAAAATAGTCTTACCTGATATGGCGCGCGCGCCTGTGACTGTGCCGCCGCCATAATGATCTTTGTCATCGCGCCTGTTTCCGTTGTAGTCGTTGTTATCGTGAACGCGCGTCGCCGGCTCGCCGTTCGTCGCCGTCGTCGACGCCGTCAGCGTCCTCGTCGTCGGCTGTCGCCGGCTGGCCCGCCGGTAGCACCTTCGTACAGCTTTGACAACGTCATCATTATCGAGGTCTCTGGGGATCGTTCCTTACCCCTTGTCGTTTCTCTCGTACCGACTCGAGAGCTCCTATCTACGGTAACTAACGAGGAACGGCGGTGACAACGCAAGCCCGTCCGCTCATTTCGTCGCCGGTGGCGATCGACGACGAGCGCGAGCCCCAAAGTGGCGAGGCACTCTGTTGTTACATCGTGTCCCGAAGAAATCGGTTCGAAGGCGAGGCTAACGACCTTTGAACCCTTTGTCGAACGGCAGTTCCGCGGGCTAGCCTCCGACGCCGCCGGTCCATTCAAGTTTTCCTGGCCGGACCGACCGGCGCGCGCGAACCGCGCACGGCCGATCTCGCGCGAGGTTTCGTCATTTTTTTCGGAGCCGTTTTTCCAACGGTCTCTCCACCGCGCGCGCGTTGTGTCACCGATCAATTGGATATCTTCCGGCACGCGCGCGCAAAAGCGAGAAAGGAGAGATAAAGGAGATAAACTCGGACCGGAGAAACCGGAGGAGTGTAATTCGCGGGGATAAAGAAAGAGGGAGAGAGAGACGCGAGAGAGAGAAAAGAGGACACGCTCAAAGAGAGAAAGAAAAAGAGAGAAAGAGGGAAGGGAGAGAGAAAGAGAGACGAGAGGAGACACATATACACACACACACACACACACACACACACGCTCTCTCCCTCTCTCTTTTTCTCTCTTTCTCGCACGGGGGTGCGCCCACGCCGATGACGTCATCCGGCGAACGTCGGTTGTGGTACCGACGATGAACGCGTTGGTGTTCAAACGTTCGGGACACTGAGAAAGAGGAAAGATTGACGAGACAGAGACGCTATCGCGCCTCGAGGAAGGGAGCGTGGAGCCGGTCGGTGGTACCGATGGGAGGGATAGCCGGATGGAGAGAGGACACTGCGAGATGTACCGGGTTTGGACGGGGAACGGGTAAACCGCTGAAGGTACGCAGCTGAGAGAGAAAGAGAGAAAAAGAGAGAGAAAGGGAGAGGGAGAAAGAGAGAAGGAGAGGACTTCTTCGCACGGGGGGTGGCGGGGCGGGTGGGGGGCAAGGAATGAATGGAGATTGCAGACCACGCGGGAGAGACGAATGGCCCGGAACCCGCGGAGGAAACGGGGGCGAGACAAGGGCGAGAAGAAACCGAGAGAGGAAGACCGCGAGAGAGCCGCGGCAAGAGGGGAACAACTGTGTGCGTGCGTGCGTGTGTTTCGCGTAGATAATCACCGTCAACAGTAGCGGGAGTAACCCACCGCGGGGTGATGTCGACGACACGTGACGCCCGCTGAATCTCGTCGTCACCGCCGGTCGCGGATCGAACGCGCGAGCGACGCACCAGCAGCACCGCGCGGCCGATATCAGCTGCCTCCGATCGCGCTCTCCTTACTGCTTCGTCCGTAAGTGCACGCGCGAGAACGTGCGAGCGCATTCTCCGGGGAGCCGACAGCTTCGCGCGCGCGAGCCACGCTTTATTAGTCCGGCGCGGGACATCGTGAACCCCTTCGCAGTTGTTTCGCGCTCCGCTTCTCTCCTCTTCGTCTCGCCGCCTTCTCGCGCGCGCAAGCCGTACAGCCTCGCTTGGCGCTTCGCCTCGTCCCGCTTCGCCATTGGCCATCGGCCATCGGATCAACGAGACCGACGAGACACCGACGTGGTGAGTGAAGCTGAGCGCGCGAGATAATAGGAGCCGGCGCGCGCCAGGATAGCGCGCGCGCTCGAGAGACGAGGGTTTCGCGAAAGAGAGGCAGGAAGGAGGCGCCAAGGAGGAGGTGCGCGAGAGGAGCAGCACCGAGGGAGAAGCCAACGTGTCAAAGAGAGCGGAAGGTCGATGCGCCCAGGAGGAACACGAAGAGTGAGCGAGAGAGCGGTGTCCTGCGGTGATACAGTGCGCGACCGGCATTCGAGTGCCGGCTACGTCGTGTGTTTACCGGCCGCGTCCACCGTTTCCTCTCCTGCCGCGCGGTCCCCGATCGCGAGCGCGGTTTCGTGGCCAACCCGTTCGACAGGGTGCAACATTGACTGACTTCCTCTCACGGGTGAGCGAATCTCCCGCACCGCTCACGATCCGCTCACGGCAACGACGCCGGTGACGCTCGCGAGGAGTGAAACTCGCGCCATTTCTCACCTCCCCTGAAACTCCCGCCGCCGTCGCCGCCGCAATGTTTTGAACGGACGCTCCGCGCAAGTGTCAATCGCCGCTGTTTTCCCCGTGTTTACTATCTGGCCGTTGTGCGGGGACTAACGCAGGACGTCCGCAGGCGGTACGGCGACGTGGCGACGGCGACGTCGTGACATGTTGTACCCTCGTCCGTTCCTGTGGCATTCGGCATCGTCGCGGTCGGCGCGCGGGTTCACGGTGCGTCGCACGTCGTGCGGGACGCGGCTCACGGCGACGGCCGGCGGCGGCACGTGCTTCGACACCGCGACGACGGCCGGCGACGGGACAGCTTGAAAAGATGCTGGCACTCGCGATGCGCCGCGAACACATGACCGGGCGCAGCAATTACGAGCCCGCGAATCCGCTCGCGGGGTTCGAACACCTGCAGCACAACAGCGGCAATCCGTTCGCGGTGGTGCCCTCCTCCGAGGGGCGAGTGCGCGAGACTAGGCCGGAGGCTGAGGGTGAGTTGCAGGAGTTTGTGGACATTGCGCAAGTGCAACAGCTGCTGCAGCAGCAGCAACAACAGCATCAGCAGCAACATCACCATCATCACCATCATCACCAGCAGCAAGCGGCCGCGGCCTCCTGCATCTGGGGGGCGGTTTACCCGCCGCCGCCGCCCGCGCTGGGATATCATCACCATCACCACCATCATCACCATCCGCCGCCCCCGCCGGCAGGTAACGACGCTTCACCACCTCGATATCTCCTCTTCGCGCCAAGTCGAATGGAAGGCTCGGCAGGCCACGCCGCGTTCGAGGAACACTCGCCAAGTGTACTCGCGGGTGCTTGGCTTCATCTTCATTCGAGATATCTTGACCTAATGTCAGTATCTCATTAATGATCCAATTGATATCTCGCGCGAGGCTCGGGACGCGTTTCCTCCGGGAATCGACGATTTCAGTGACGATCGCTCCGCACGAAGCGTGTCGCTCGTAGCCGAGGAGCACGGAGATTCTCTCAAGTGCCGCATGGCTCTCCATTTTGTTGCCAAGCCAGTTTCTAACTGTTAGACGGCAATAATTCTGACGTGACAATATTGACAGAGGGAAATAATATAAGCGAAACAAATATCAACGCAACTGTCGTTCGATCGAGAGTTTCTCTCTGTCGTTAACCCCTCCGTCTGCTTCTCTGTTTCTCGCGGTTTGCTTCGTGCGATCACTTTCCTCCCCGTGTATGACTCAACAGAGAACTTAGGGCTAACATCTTCTCCGTTATTTCATATCTCCACTTTCTAGTCAGAACGTTGCCTAGTCCCAGTATTCGTAACTTTTTTTTAGCAAAATCCGTAACAGACAATCGGAGCTTCAGCTGCAATGACCCACGAAGCAGACGGAGGGTTGACTACGCGAGAACAACGATACCTTTAACGGTAGACGTCCCGGACCCTGATAGTTTCGCAATTAGAACGTTGTTTTGGGGAAATCGAAGCCAGTTTCGCGAAGCTACGGCGTACAGGGTAGCGATAGAGGGTCGAGGTCTCACCGTGGTTGTTGTTGGTTCATTCATCGCGCTGCCACGCGCTGCCACGCGCTGCCACGGCCCGCGTCGCCGTTCTTCTTTGCGAACGGCCCGCCGCTATTCCCGCCAGTGAATTTTTCTCACGAGCCACTCCGCCAGAGTGTTGGTGATGGGTGCTTAGCGCTACGCGATAATTTACGTCGCGGCTCTTCGGTATTCCTCCGCGGTTTTCCTGCGACAAGCACCGTGAGCGACTCCTACGGCTACCGGTATTAACGGCGGCCTAAACACCTCGCGACTATATGTATGATAATCGATCTTTAAGAGCTTTCAGACCGGCACGTCGAAACCTGTATTTCTAGATTAGCTATTAAGCCCCTTGTCACCACGCGCGCACGAATGTAGCTCGTGAGAGACTTTCGTGGACTCCGGTGCGTTGTCAGCGCGTGAAACGAACGTGAAACCGAGATTACAGCCACCTACGTGAATTATTGGGGAGATCTTTTGTCAATCGGAGAAAGAGAGAATTCGATCGGTGCTCCTTCCTGCGCTCACGACAACGCGGGCGATCTCAGTGTCGCGTGTCAATCGCGGAATCGACGGTGTTGATTATTTTCGCGTTCGAAACCCATTGTTAATGTTTCGTTCTTTACTCTCTACGTTTCTTGAGGTGGAATCCCGCTGAAAGCGAGTGAAAAGTGGCGGTATTTTCACGCGAAGCGATGCTGAAAGTACTGCCGCTCGAAGTCGCAAGAGCGAACGTTTCATTCAAGCTCAGGGCGGATTCTGACGCCATATGAGCGAATCGATTAGAATGAATATGGTTCGTATTAATAGTCATTACTTGAAACTTATCTCAGGTGAGACACTCAGACTTGAATTTGGAGTTAGATGCGAGTTTCTCAGCTGAATCGCGATTGCACATTTAATATTACGTATGTTATATGATTCAAATAAAAAGCTCAAATTTAATTCTAAATTCAGATCTGAGGATCTTAATAATTTTAAGTAACGACTTAATAGTACGAGCCTATGTTCTTGTGACGATAGAGTGCAGGACGTTGTAAAACGATTTATACTCAGTGAAATTGGCAGCTCACAAGATTGTCAAAATTAGGAGTCATTACTTGTGCATAATAATCGGTTTGCCTAGTAACTATATTTTATTAATTATTGTTCGTATTATTATTTAGTGTTCTTAAATTATATTATTACATGGAAGAAAAGATACGATGCACATAACCAGAAGTATTTAGTTGTGAGCAGCATAGCTGCATTACAAAAGAAGTGTTTGCTTGAATTTACCAAGTCTCAGAATATGAACAAACCAGAAATTGTGTTTGAAGTTACCAGAATCCTGTTCGAGTCGACAAGATGTCTGATTAGCTTGAGCAGAATTCTGGCAATTTCCACTGGAATTTTCTGATTCGTCCACATTTCACCAGAACTTTGGGTAATTCAACTAAACATTTTTTCCGTGTAATTATCTTTGCGTGACCTAAATGTGTATGGTTGATACGATCAGTTGCTTTGGTGCATCAATTGCATCAATGTAGTTGCACGTAATCTGGTTGTGACGATCAGAAATCAGTTGGTGTGACATTTATCACGGATACATTCTGGTTGGAGCAACTAGATATGTTCCGTACTTTAATGCTGAATCTGGTTGGCACGATCGGATTTGGGCCAATCATACTGTTTTTTCCGTGTAATTATGTTATTATTGTTTAAATCCGACGGTAATGATTCTCAATTTTGAGTTTGGTGAGCTTCCAACTTCATTGTGTTCCGCAACTGTTCTGCAATATATATTGGGAGGTCGATCGTGTATCAACGCAACGTGGTGAAAATTACAAAAGTGATCAAATTCATCAGGTGCTGACCAATGAAATTGTAACTATTCTAATAAATTCGCTTACTTTTGTCATTTCCACCGAGTTTCTACACAATCGAGCCCCTGATTCTCTCTTCAGTTTCAAGTGAACGAGACATCACTTGAATTCAAGACTCGGTGGTCGCTCTGTGCTTTTCGAGTGAAATTTCACTTTAAGAAATTTGGAGATATCTTTTTTTATTATTGCTGCAAAAAAGCAGCCGTTGTATCGCTCGGAACACAGTCCGAGTCGTCCATTCGACATACCGGTAGATATGTATTCGGTACACGAATTATTGACTAATCGTAAGCAAGCGTAAAATACGTAAGAAATACTCACTCGCTACTTCCGAGCGGAGGTAACTTGGCTTTTCATAACCCGTAACAAAGTCCTCCGGATAAATCACTCGCTGTTCGATATTCACGGTCCTTGGCATTAGAACTATCGAAACAGTCAGAATGACAAGTTTGTGATTTCTAACAAAAATCGCCCAAATTTAGAACACAAAATATTGCATTTTCAATCGACGTCCAATATAACCGAGAAGACTAAGTAAACATTTCCTCCACTTCTGGCGTTACGTATTTCTTCAAAAACCTGTCATTTTGACCGCTCTGGAGATAGAGATAGGTCGTTGATCATCGGTAGTTCCAGTGCTGAGCCAATTTCTAACCAATTGACGCTACACAGCGATAATTCCGACGTAATAATATTGACAGAGGAAATAATAAACGAAAAGAGAGATATTAACGACGCGGCTATCGTGCGAGCGGGAGCTTCTGTATTATTAACTGCGTTGAAAGCGACGACGATATCCTCAACGGTAGCCCAGACACTGATAACTCCGCCGCGAGGACGCCGTGAGAAAGAGAGAGAGAG